CTCAGCCACTCCAGCTTGGTGTCAGACATGTGAATAAAGAAACCATCTTGGATGTTCGGTCCTGGCAGGAATCACATAGACCAAAGGTGAGATACGCATCCATCCAGGTACAATATGAATGCTTCACACACAGAATCATGAGAGATTTATTAAAAAAAAGGGGGGGTTCCTGCTCTGGCTCCTATGGTTGGGGTAGTCTGGTAAGTAGCAATAAATAATCAAGACAACGTGATTCTGAAAACCACAGAAGGGATGCTATTTCACCTCATCTGCCTCCATCGTGAAAGCTTAACGAATTCCAACACACAAAACACTTTCTTCGGCTGTGTCAACTCAAGGTACATCAAGGTGCTCCATGGTTGCAGAAATATATATTTTCACGTTTTTCAAAATGTTATTTTTAAAATCACCTTTTATTACTATTTTTAAAAATCTGGTTTAAATGAGTATATATACACAGATTACCAGTTTTGCAAACTCCATGCTCACACATACTATGTGAAAGAGATGAGGGGGTAAAAATGTATCTAAGTTTTAAATAAAACTGTGAAAAGTAGCTCTTTGAGTCATGAGATTACAGATACCCTTGGTTTTCTTCTGCTACGTACTTGTCCTTTCAAAGTTCTCACCAGTATATGGCATTTTATAATGATTGAGAACCAGGGGGATAGCGGTGACACTTGGGGAGGTGATGGTGTCTGGAAGGGGCACCAGGGACATTTAAAGGGTGCTGGTAATGTTCTGGGTTGTTGTTTTTTTTTAAGATTTTATTTATTTATTTGAGAGAGAGAATGAGAGACAGAGAGCACGAGAGGGAAGAGCGTCAGAGGGAGAAGCAGACCCCCCGCTGAGCAGGGAGCCCGATGCGGGACTCGATCCCGGGACTCCAGGATCATGACCTGAGCCGAAGGCCGTCGCTTAACCAACTGGGCCACCCAGGTGCCCAATGTTCTGGTTTTTATTCAGAGGGCTGCCTACATGGGTAGATTGCCTTGTGAAAATTCATCAAGCTGTACACTTATGATTTCTGCCCTTTTTGCTGTGTATATAAAAATTTTTTACAATTTAAGGTAGTGCATTCATTCATACTGAAGAGTTCTTAAATATGTGAGATTCAGCCTCATGACCAAGTGTGAGAAATGGGAAATCTCTACTGTTTTTGCCCTGGAAAAGAGAAAGGAGCTTCCATGTCCCAATTTCAATTCTATTTATAAAACGCCATATACTGGTGCTCTCTCTCTCTAATAAATAAAATCTTTTTTAAAATTTTCACAAGAGGGGCGCCTGGGTGGCTCAGTCTGTTAAGCATCTGCCTTCAGCTCAGGTCATGATCTCTGTGGTCCTGGGATCCAGCTCCGCATCGGGCTCCTTGCTCAGCGGGGAGTGGGCTTCTCCCTCTCCCTCTGCCCCTTCCCCTTCTCATGCTCCCTCTTTCTCAAATCAATAAATAAAATCTTAAAAATAAAATATTCACAAGAACTTTATAATTAAAACATCCAGAAACAATTCAAATGTCTACCAATAGGAGATGGATAAACAAATTATACTATATTGACAGAATACGACTCAGCGAAGAATAAACACTGAAAGGCACAACATCAATGCCTCTCAAAATGTTGAGTGAGGGAAGCCAGACAAACGAACCAAAAAACTCAAGGTGCTTGATTCCATGTAGAAGAAAAAAACAACAAAGTGGTCTTCTCTGAAGGTGGAGGTACGAGAGTGATGGGATTATATTTGTTACATGGGTGAAATCAATTGCCAACATGCATCAAACCCGTGTAGTGAACTTACCCTCCCCAAGGAGTTCCTGGGATCAGAGATCCCTCAAGAACAGTGCCTTTCTCCACGAAGATGCTTTTAAAGATTCCACTAGTGTTGGCTCATGCAAAGGCCCACAGAAATCTTACTGGATCGTCCGCTCCAGCACTGTAATCCATTGAACCCTTTCAACTCCTGTCAGGATAGTAGATGGATATGGATTTGTCATATCATTCAATATCCCATATATTACCTAGTGTATGTCTACACCAGTCACTCCAGAAACTGTAATGATCTGTTTTAATCCATGACAATATATTTTGATAAGCCAAAAGTTTGATCTACTGTCTTTGGATGAGCACCTCCAAATCTATGTCCACAAACATTTCCTTGCTTGCTTAGGATGAGAAATCCTAGTGAATGCTTTTAATGCGTCTTGAGTGTCACTCATATCTTCCCTATTATCCTTCCGCAATTCAAAGTCTGGGCAGTGTTATAACTATATAACTATATTCTGGATACTAGCCAGGCAAACAAAGATGGACTATGAGAGGTGGGGCTCGTCCATGAGGACCAGATACACATCGTGGCTTAAAGTTCTCTAGGCCCTCTGAATCGTGACAGATGTACTTATTCCGGTAACAATGACCTCAGTCTTTTTCACTGAATGCTCTAAACATCACACAAGCTACCAAGCATAAGTAATCTGAATTATTAGTGCAGACGGGACCACTGTCTGAATTTGGTTGACGGCAGTTACAGTCCTAAGGCTTACAGCAATAGGAGATTCTTTCAACAGATCTGCATAAAACCTGGAGATCAAGTCAATGAATCAAGGCCTTCCATTCGTTTATTCATCTACTTGATAAATATCTATTAATGACCTACAACACCTAAAGCACCTTTCTTGTCCGCATGGAGATTACATTCTGGCACTGGGAGATACACAAAGATTAAATGGTTTAATGAGTAAAGTAAGGGTTAGAGAGAAAAATAATGTAGGATGGGAAGCAGAGCCCACTGCTTGACAGGTTTGAACATAACACCTAATTTTTACTGGGAGAGTAAAACTCAGGTCTTGACTTTCACAAGCCCAGTGAGTTTGCAGGCCTTTCCCCTCTGACTTGAATGTATTTACTCAACTTGTCTTTGAAAACACTATGTAGCATTTCTCTGAGAACCCTTCAGGATCACAAAACCATTCAATATTGATCTCATTCCCTTCTTGATGTTAATTAACTCTAAAGTGTTCATTTTCTTGTACCACTTTGCACACTATCCTGTAGAACTGTACAATTTGAACTCTGTAAAATCTAATTCTCTGTCCTTTGTACAAAATTTAGACTACCACTCGATATTTGCATTTTTGGTTTTTTAAAAAAGATTTTATTTGGGGCACCTGGGTGGCTGTCATTGGGCGTCTGCCTTCGGCTCGGGTCATGGTCCCAGGGTTCTGGGATCAAGTCCCACGTCGGGCTCCCTGCTCGGCGGGGAGCCTGCTTCTCCCTCTCCCACTCCCCCTGCTTGTGTTCCCTCTCGCTCTCTGTCAAATAAATAAAATCTTAAAAAAAAAATAAAAAAAGATTTTATTTGAGAGAGAGAGAGAGAGCATGGAGAGGGGCAGAGGGAGGAGAGAGAAACCCAAGCAGACTCCACACTGAACTCAGAGCCTGATGCAGGACTCCACCTCACGACCCTGATATCAAACCTGAGCTGAAACCAAGAGTCAGATCAACCGACTGCTCCACCCAGGTGCCCCCCGACTTGGTATATTTCAGAGTCCTGTCATTAAGAAAAAGTAAGGGGGTGTCATGATACTGAAATCATGAGGCTGAGGGTGTTATGTAGTAACTCGCTTGTCTATTTTCATGGCACCTGAGGCAATGTCTGAGAAAGATCTGAGGAGGAAAGCTAGCACAAGACCAAAAAATGTGTTGGGTTTCACCTAGGTCTCACTTATAGTCACCTGAGGCCACATGGATTTGGAATGTACCCATCTCTGAGTACTCTTTCCACTGCAGAAATATTGCTATGAACACAGCATATAGTAGCACAAGGACCTGGAAAATTTTCTTTTAAAGATTTTATTTATTCATTCGACAGAGAGAGAGAGAGCACAAGCAGGCAGAGTGGCAGGCAGAGGGAGAGGGAGAAGCAGGCTCTCCGCCGAGCAGGGAGCCGGACGTGGGGCTCGATCCCAGGACCCCAGGATCATGACCTGAGCCGAACAGACATTTAACCGACTGAGCCACCCAGGCGCCCCAGGACCTGGAAAAATTCTTAATGAATGTGTGCATAATCCAGAAGTCCACTTTTAAAACTCCACTCTGGAGACAGTCTTGTGAATGGGCCCAGAAGATATGGAGAAGATTATCAGTGGATTTTTTTGGAACAGGAGAAACTGAGAAACCACCGCCCCAGGTGTCCAGCAACAGAGGGATGGGGACAACTGCTGGTGCATTTGTACAGGGGGTGGCTATGCTGTGGAAAAGGGCAACCTCACCTGATGCCCATGTAAATCGCACAATCAGTTAAAGATGCAAGTCATAGAAGAATGCAGAGTGTGATCCCCTTTCAAGTTCAAAACCAGAAATTTCATTTAGGATTACATCAACATGTAATAAAACAACAATGAAAAGACAGAGAACTGTAACCTACCTTTGTTTTTTTTTTTTTTTTAAAGATTTTTTATTTATTTGAGACAGAATGAGAGAGCGCGAGCACATGAGAGGGGGGAGGGTCAGAGGGAGAAGCAGACTCCCCGCTGAGCAGGGAGCCCGATGCGGGACTCGATCCCGGGACTCCAGGACCATGACCTGAGCCGAAGGCAGTCGCTTAACCAACTGAGCCACCCAGGCTCCCCCTGTAACCTACCTTTGTAAATTAGCTACCTGAGGTACTGAGGATAAACAAGAAATGGCTTTCCAAGGACACTCAGTGGATTCTGAGGTACTGGGAATATTCTTGTTAGCTTGGTTGGTGAGTTCATGAGTATTTACTCTTCTCTAAACTGGCACATGTAATTTACAAATGTTTTTATATATGCAGTTAAGAGAAATTCAAGAAAAAAAAAAAACCCACGTGTGTTCAGTTTAGGAATATTTATCCCTAACATCTATCTGTGACACCTCTTCCAGCTAGCCCTGGGGATGCTCCTGTGTCAGTCTCCGCCTCTCTCTTTTCTTGTTCGTGGGCAATAAAAACAGTGACAAGATCTTTAAAATTCAGCAAGTGTAGGAAGTGTGGGAGAAAATTCAGGTGACACCATGGTCAGGTAATCCGAACGTACATTTGGAACCATATTTGGAAGCCATTTTTAGGATGCAAAGCCTCAAGCAGTAGCTGCTTGTTCTTTCATGTTGGGTGATGTCTAACGTTCTCCCATTTGAGGGGACCTCCCCACTTCATCTGAAGGTAATACAGTGTCTTTCTTGTTAGGATAGAAGCAAAAGCCAAGAAATGATCTCCCTGCCTACTCTTTGGGAGTCAGGACACAAGCATTTGTAGAGAACTACTGCTCTTTCCTGATGGCACGGTGCCGGCCTTTGTGGGGGAGCAGGAGGCCAGAGCTGCCCAGGCCATGGGGTAGTGGTTTCACTTTCTGCTCTTCAATCAGATTTCCTTTGTTCCTCTCCATTTTCAGAAGTGGGTTCATTGCTATTCCATCCATACAATGAGAACTTGAGACATTGAATAAACTGCTTTTTAAGAGAATCAGCATCATTTATGCTACTTGTTACCAAGATCTTGACTGATTGTTAAATAACTAGAATATTCACATTTCCAAGTCCAGTTAGCTTTCGTTAATATTCCTTGATATGAATTCGCTGATGTCGAGTAAGCTGTGATCTGCATCTAAAGGACGGCCCACATTCAGGGCAATCAGAGGGCTTCACTCCACTATGTGTCCTATCGTGCGTGACAAGTGAAGAGTGGTTACTAGTTTTCCCGCACATGTGACGTTCGTAAGGTCTTTCCCCTCTATGACTCCTCCTCTGAATGACGAAATGGGATGTACAGGTAAAGGCTCTTCCACATTCCTTACATTCATAGGGTTTCTCCCCAGGGTGAATTCTCCTGTGTAGGGTAAGTTGCATGATTCGGCAAAAGGTCTTTTTGCAGTCCGTACACTGATACGGTTTTCCTCCAGTGTGAACTGTCTGATGCTCAATCAGGGAAGAGAGACGTATGAAGGACTTCTTACACTTACTACATTTGTAGGTTTTTCTCTGGAGTGAATTTCCTGATGTCTAATGAGCTGTGCACTTTGAGTGAAGGCCCTGCCACAGTCCTTATATTTGTAGGGTTTTTCCCCACTATGAATTCTCCGGTGAGCCATCAGAGCTGAGGAACGGTTAAAGGCCTTTCCACATTTGCTGCACTCATGGGACTTTTCTCGAGTATATGTACTGTGATGCTGAGATGAGTCATCTGGCTGAAGGTTTTCCTACATTCCTTACATTCATACGGTCTCTCACCTGTGTGAATTCTCTCATGCTGGTTAAGATGTGCCCTCTGATTGAAAGTTTTACAACATTCATCACATTTATAGGGTCTCTCTCCTGTGTGGATTCTCTGACGTTGAACAAGAGTTGATCGACGGCTAAAGGATTTCCCACACTCATGGCACCGGCAGCACTCCTCAAGAATTTTCTGATGGATGAAAAGGTGCATTATTGCTGCAGGAAGTTTTTGCATATTCTTTACATATGTTGCTTGCTCTTTTCATCACTGTTTCATGTTGGAATGTTTCCTCTTTTATACTCTTCCTTAGAGATAATTCCTTGCTCTCCCATATTGCCTCACTCTCTGAAAATGAAATATATAAATATATTAACATGAAAAGGCATACATACTACTACTGCTGACATTCTCGACTTAAAGACTCTAGTACTTAAAGATATATATGTACAAGGGCATTGTCATACTATTTGGCAAAAAAGCTGGAAACAGCCATCAAAAGTGTCTATTTGAGTTGATGACATTATGTCCAACAGTCTGGCTCATTTACGAAACTATTAAAAATACTTGAGTTTCAGCTCTATGGACTGGAAGAGATAAAGCTGACTGAAAAGACCAAGTTGCAGAGTAACAACTATAGAAAGATATCTATTCTGTAAGAGCAAAAAATAATAAGATGCTCCCTATGTGTGTGTGTTGTGTATTAGCATGGATGAAAGTGTGAATGTACACCTACTATATTATTACCATCGGTCCTCTAGAGTGGTGAGAATGGAAACACATGCAAGGAGTCCACCAGAGCCAACCTGTGGAAAGAGCCGAGATGTCCATCGACAGATGAATGGATAAAGAAGATGTGGTATATATACACAATGGAATATTATGCAGCCATCAAAAGGAATGAGATCTTGCCATTTGCAACGACGTGGATGGAACTGGAGGGTGTTATGCTGAGTGAAATAAGTCAATCAGAGAAAGACATGTATCATATGACCTCACTGATATGAGGAATCCTTAATCTCAGGAAACAAACTGAGGGTTGCTGGAGTGGTGGGGGGTGGGAGGGATGGGGTGGCTGGGTG